TCCACGGACCAATATACCATATTGAAGCCCTCAATTCCCTCTTCAAAACCCACCCAACCAACTGTCGTGATCCTATCGAAAGTGGACAGAAAAAGGAGCCAAAATAGGCTACCCATGCACAACCGGATTTTGGACAGCAGGCTCTGCGTGGGTAGCCCACTTTGGCTCCTTTTTTCAGCCAATTCCGATGTGATCACTACCGGTGGTTGGGTTGGTTTTGAAGAGGGCATTGAGCACTTCAATATTGTATATTGGTCCATGGAAAAAGGTGGCCGGAGAACGGAATTATGGTGGTCCAAAGTTGGCACCTCCAAGCTGTCCAAAATCCAGGTAGCTCACTTTGGTGCGATTTTCCAGCCAATTCCGATGGGATCACTGCCAGTGGTTGGGTGGGTTGTTAAGAGGGTATTGATGGCTTCAATATGGTATATTGGTCCATGGAAAAAGGTGGTCGGAGGACGGAGTTATGGTGGTCCAAATTTGACACCTCCAAACTGTCCAAAATCCACATGTGCTCACTTTGGTCCTTTATGTTTGAATTAAAGGCATAATGGTCCTTCAGTGACCGTTTGTGAAAGAAACTTAAACTCAGTGACTGTTTGTGAAAGCGCATAAAATTTCAGTGACCGTTTCTGCAAGTTTTGAACTTCAGTGACCGTTTTGTTATTTTTGCGTAAGTTTAGTGATCGTTTGTGAAATTAATCCTTTCCAAAACTCGTAGATTCAAGTTTAAAAATGGATGGGTAGAAAAGAAACCCGAGAGGGAAAACTAATTTGAGAGAGGAGAAACCCTGAGAAAGAGTCCCAAACAAGTGCCACTTTTTCTTGAACTCCTGGGGATTAGTTTTTTCTTGAAGGTAGCACCATTCTGAAGCAATGTACAGATGTAAATTCCAAGTTCATAAAAGCAAAAGAAGATCTTCACTTTCTCTATTCCCATGAGAAAATTTGCTTTTCCTTTTCCATTTCCTTCATTTTCCTTCCTCTTTTCATTTTCCTCTGTCACTCTCTTACCTACTTAGGATCAACCCCAAAAACCATGAATTTGCTTTTTTTCAGCATTTGTCTCTATCTCTTCCTTTTTCCACAAAATCCCACATAATTTACACTAAATTCATAAAATTGGAAAGCATCAAATACCAAAGTATATTTGATTAAAAGGATATCATCTATCAAAAGAAGAAACTAAATCAGAAAAATAGGAAAAATATTACATCATAATTAACTAATCAAACCACTAGCAATGGCACGATTTGTATGCAAATGAGTAGTTTCATACACGGGCAATTCTTCACAATATCTATTGTTTCCAAACAATGCCAAGTGATCAAGTTCGAATAAATCCGAGCTTGAATCACTTGCTGCATCATCTTCATCCTCTTCTTCATCGTTCCCAATATTGCCGTGTATATTTTTAAACGCGGATAAATCTCTGGCAGTTTTTTCTGTTTTCCTATTTTTCTCCTTTAGTCTAAGTTTCAAGTCTGCAACTGTGTTTAATGGCAATGGAAGCTTTCCGAATTTATCAGAATCTTCATCATAAATGGATTTATGGCCACAAGGACGACAATCTTCATCGACAATTACACCCACCGGATGAAATCTGACCGTTCTTTTGATGCCATTTCGCATTTTCTCCCTCGATTTAGGTGAATACTTGCTCAAACATGACCTTGTAAATGATGAAGCTGAAGAACAAGTTGATGAATCCTGTGTGGTTGTGGGCTTTGATTTCCTATTCATACTTGAATCTTCAAACCCTTCATTTGCGTTGGGATTTTTCGCTTTCTTCGTATTTGCATTCGCAAAAAGGGAATTGATGAAATTTGTAAGGCGGCCACCTGGTGAAATGGGCTGTTTCACCTTCTTCAAATTGGCATAAATCTTTAAGGCCCTCGATTTCGACTTGATCAAATTCTCATCAATCCTATCCGCCTGATGATTTCGATATTCATCAAGCAAATCATTATCATTCTGTTCATGAAACGGAGGATTTTTTCGCGGTGAGACACTGGTTCGAACCGGTTTAGGCCTTGTTGAAGAAAAACAAGAAACTCTTGATTTTGGTACAGAACCTCCAAAGAACTCTGTATCAGAGGAAGAAGAAAGTGCACCAGAACTGTCTGAAGAACTCGAACTCGAACTAAAGAACAAAATATCATTCTCATGAATCGACTTGTTCTCCAATTCTGGTAACAAAAATGGCCTTGTTTTAGCAGTAACTTTCTCATTTACTTCTTTCTCCATCCACTTCCCAACCAAACGAGCCCTCCTGAAACTCGACATTTCCTCGTCTTCTACACCTTTTGTTTTATCCTTTAACCTTCCACCCCCTTGCTTTCTCACGGATTTTTCTTCGTATGCCTTCAAATCTTCAGATTTTTCGTCAATGGAACGGTAAATTTCATCAAGAAGGGTGGATGAAAATGTTGGCATTTTGGGATTTTCTCTAAATTGTTTCTCCCAACTGTACATCTCTCTCTTGTATGAACTGAAAGAAGAAGAAGAACAAAGTATGAGCAAACAAGAAAGGAAAACAAGTTTCTTTTTGATGATGAGGCAAAAGAGAAAGTGAGATAATGAGAGCAAAACGACTTGGGATGAGACTTGAGAAGAGAATAGAAGAGAGACATTTATAAAGGGCTTGTCTTGCGCGTGCAAGCTGGTGCTGGTATAAACATTTCATTGCGTGGCATATTGATTTTTCAAAATCTCCCCATCCTTTATTGTGAGTTTATTATTCACATACCTTCGAAGAATGTTTCGTACGTAATGTTCAACATAATTAAACGTAAGATTTTTAATCCCAAAAAGCCTCTCTCACAAAATAAGCCGATATAAAATTTGAATTCGAAAACTTGTCACGACTCGAATGCATATTGATTTTTCTTACGTGTTTCTATCAAAATTATAAAATCATATCAAACTTAAGAGTTCAACTGAAGAAATTTGTAACTAGTCGAGTACATGAAAAACGTAGAATGTAAACCTCATTAAAAGAATTTCAAAACTAATCGGGTGATCTGTATATTTTTTTTTCTTAATTTTTCACCGCCAATACAACTATTTGATTATGAATTTCTTTACCTTTTTCCAAAAAAAAAAAAAGAATACTTTTTTTAAAAACATTGGTGTATATATGATAAAAAAAATAGAGATGATCCTCAATTGAATGAAATGAGAAAAAAAAAAAATCTATTAAATACATAACAATAATGTTACACTGTATAGAAGAATCAATGCAGTGGGGCCATACTATTTTGGTGGGGGCAGAGATTCTTGAATTTGAAAGTGCAATTTGGTGTGAGGCAATCACAGGATCAGTACTGGAAACGGTAATTGTACTAATAATTATAATACGACATACCTTCTTTTGAAAAGAAAAGCTGATCACTTTGGAAGATGAGAAATTATAGGTTTAAATGTGAACATGGAATATATTTAGGAGATTTTAAGGTTTGTTGGATTACAACATTCGAATTCCATGAGAATGTTATAATATAGTTGAAGGTGGCATCTGACCGTCGAGAACATTTTATGTTTTAGTACACAATATTCGACAGTTCAATCTCATATTATTTCTCCTTGTAAGATGCTACTATTATAGATATCAAGAATCTCTGTAGTTTATGAAGTTAGTTGAATATTAGTAAACAACATTAAGAAAGAAAAAGATAAAATAAATTCAGTCTCGTACTGTTTTGAGTATTGTGTATTCAAGTTGTCCTAAAAATCCTAATGCCTTATCAAGAAAAAGACGATAAGTTCTTAATATCGAACGTGTTTTATAACAATGGCGGAGTCTGAGGGCGGCAATGGCCACCGCAACATTTTTAAATTTTCAAAATTTAAAGTTTACGTAAAATATCACAAAATACATGTATATTTTGTCCCTTCAATATTTTTTCAATCCTCATTGTGAAAAATCTGGCTCTATCACTATTCTACTGGGGATGAATAACATTACTCGTTCTATAAGGGCGTGTTTGGAACCAGGATTTTCATCCATAAGTTGAGAATTTATATGTATTAAAATCATTGCACATGCTCCTACCAACTTATCCATGGGTTTAGTACCGATTGGTGAAGGCATCTTACTTAACTATAATTACTTATTATTCCAAACTAGCAATTGAAATTGAAAAATACGCAGTGGTTGAGGATTAAAACAGTCATTTCAAACCACTTTACTTATTTATTTTTCATTTCATTAAAAAAATTACACCATAAAATTTTAATTGCAATCCATGATGAATAATGCCATATTGTAGCATACGTGACATTCATCAATGTTTAAAGATATTGAATTGATCATTCGATACGTGAAACAATATACGAGACATATTTCGTCATTGAAATCGAGGAGTCTATTACTAATTTTTGTTTTTCAAAAATGGAATTGCATAACCATGGTAAATTGATTATGGAAGGAGCCTACTGCCTATGGGAAAAATTGACTTTTTACCTCGATATCAGCCAGGTAATCATGGCAAAATCGATGGATTAGGAGCCTAAAATATATAAATATTGGTAGAATTTTAGTTGAAACTCACTACAAATAATGTCGTAATATAGCAGAACACTGAAAACACTGAAAATACGAGACTTGTTTAGTGCATTGAATCTTGAACTTATGATACATAAAATGATATACGAGACTTGTTTCATAGTTGAATCGGACAAAATAATCGACAAACACTAAGGGTGCGTTCTTGTTACTGTTTTCATATCATTTTCAATTTTCAATTTTCGAAAACACTGAAAATACGTTTTGACTGTTTTCAGTTTAAAATTTACAAAGAAAACGAAAAACGCCAAAAAAGTCGTTTTGACCGTTTTCAGTTAAAATCAAACCAAAACTGTTTTTTTTTTTAAATAATTTTTCAAAATGACAAAAAGAACGGGGTTTCAGCAATCTCAAAATGAATACTCAAAACATAATACTTAAAATGAATTCAAAACTAAAACCTAAAAACTGAATCACGAAAAGAACAACCCCTAATATTTTGTCATTTATAACTTATGTAACCTTGAGGAGTCAATGGTTTCTAACACTATATTAACTAATGACACTACATAATCATGGTAAATTGATGATGGAAGGAGCCTACAGCCTAGGGGGAAAAACTGCCTTTTTAACCTCGAAATCAACCAGGTAAAAAAAAAAAAAAGAATCTAGAAGGAAAAGGTAAAATTTATAGATATTGGTAGAATTTAATAATGATAAATCAGTGCATTAGGAGCCTAAAACAGGTCCCTAATCATAGAAGATGGGGAATCTGTTCCCAAAAAGGGAAATTGCAATAGGTGAAAATTCAAGTAAAAAGAATCACAGTAAAAACATAAAGTCTAGTAATAATTTGCTTTAATGCAAAATTATGGTTCGAAATCTATAGAAGCACTGTCAACTTATCGGTGTGTCACATCTGGATTAGACATTAGATTCACGACCATGATTATAGCTCCTACAAAGGATTATTACAGCTAATTAACAAAGGATAAATCCAATGTGATCATTTATAATTTCTGTCACCATCAAGGATATGATGTATACAATCTACCATCTAATATTATTTTAAAATCAATTAGGTTCTTTCGTCGGAAGAGTTTGACATTCTCTTTGACCGACACTCACGTGCACGTAGGATCCATGTTAATAAAATATTCCAAAAAAGTTATCTCCACCTCCCATTGTGAGCGTGCTGTTAGGGAAGATGTCAAATCCTTCCTGACAGCATAGCATGGTTGTTTTAAAATAACAGGGGTTGAACGACAAATAATAAACTTCATGAGGAGAGATAAACAGTTAGCTCGAATCATCACCTAAGGCCACTATGGGAAACTTTGTTAGTAAATGGGTTGTTATTAACACAATTAATTTAGTGAGACAATAGCGATAAGCGTTGTCGTCGATAAACAAACAACTCGAATCACCACTAAAGGCTTTAAATGATAACTATCACATCACCTCGTAAATTTTTCTATTTTTTCCATCTTTAGAGTGTGGTTGATGATGGAAAAATTGTTAGCGAATGGGTTGTGATTAGGTAGGGTAGATCAATAGGGATAAGTTTCATCGTCAAGAGAAAGCAATCTCGATTACTAGCTAGATTATCTTGACATAAACGTAGTAATTAGACATAATTCAACAAACAATACATGCTACGAACGAAATCATGAATACGGGTTGCTAAATTCTTATTCGGATGGATCGATGAGGTCGTTAACAAAGACAGAAAGCGATATCTTGGATTTAAGTTCATTAATCCAACACCCTTAGAAGAAGCAAGCGTGGTTTGCCAGGTATTTGCCTCTAATATCCTTGTCAAGATCACATGCTTTCATCTTTTGAATCTATTACTGTTTATAAATATTCAGACATAAGAGGGATTCTTGCAAAAAGCTTCCTATTTTGGTCTCTCTAATAGGGTTTCCACAAGGATCTGATACATCTGCATTAGGACAAGAAGTAAACATGGTGTATACAAAAATTTAGACACAACTGATCACTTTCTTGATTTTATTAAAAGAAAGTATATATTTGTACTCTAAAAGTTTGAAATTTTTTAGTGATGATTTTGATTCTTGATTTATGAGATCAGATCATGGTTGATGAATCAAAGTTTTATAAAATATGATAAAGTATCGTGTCAAAACTAATTCGAGTACTCGATGTATGATGACGACAAAGATAACACGAGCACACAAAATTTTTATTTGGTTTTTATCTCTCGTTATTTTCAGCAAATGCAGAAATCCCTTATCCCAAACAGCCCAAAATAATTTGAAGGGTGAGAGGCCAAGATGTTTCAAGTCAACTGGAAACTTGGTGGTTATCTTTCTTCATCAAGACGACAAAGATGGGGTATGGCACCATACTCTTTAATTGGACCACTATTTTCCTCTTCTTCCCTACCAAAATTCATTTTTGGTCTCTCTATTTGAACTTCATAACATGGATGAAACAAACAACGGATTGAAGCGAACTATGTTGCTCACATCATCGCGAATAAATTTTTATGTACGCCGATTTTGGAAAGTCTCCAATCTATGTTCATGATATTGCTTAATGAAATTCCGGTATTTTGCTTTTAATCCCCTGCTTTGTTTAGATGAAAATCAAATTTTTAGTAAACTTTGATAAAAGTTGGTGGAATGTGGGGTTGAAAAGACGTCAATCCAATGAAATATGTGGTTAAAATTAATTGTTGACTTTATCACATATTTTAATCAAAATTTATAACTGAACCAAATATGGGATAAATAAATAAGACAAACTCTAAATATTGGATATATTGCAAGGAAGATGTGTATATACATTGGATAATTGGAAGATATATCAAAAAAACATTCGAGTCTATCATAAATTCCATGTTTTGTGGAAGTTGTTTATCCTACATGTAACAGCCCTCGTATTCAATATCGACTTATCCAAAGAGACATACAAAAGTAATTCATTCTTCACCATCTAACATGCCAAAAATGGTATAAGAATAAAGAGCATTAATTCTTACTTCTATCATTTTACATTCAAGATTTTTTTGGCATAAGAATAAAGAGCATTAATTCTTACTTCTATCATTTTACATTCAAGATTTTTTTGAAGAGTTCATGTTAAATAGTATCGCCTTTTGAAACTCACGGTCCTTTGCCGAACGAAAGTTAAAAAAAAAATTAATATTATCTTGGACAACTAATAACGAAATAATATTGCTTGAGACTAGGAGTTATACAAAGAAAGCGATGAATAGATTATTTATTTTATATCCTTACACGTGTCGTCATTTTAATGGACGGTCGTACTAGGTGTATATATAGAACCCTCTTCCGAAACTTTTATTTTGTTAGAGACCTTGCTCCTTGATTATATACATGTTTGGTGCCATTAATTTGACAATATGTGATACTAATAGAAAAAAATAAAACACTCATAGTTGATTAGTTGTATCTTAAAAAATCGATTTAATCCATGGAGTGACAAAACAATCGCAGATATTAATGAACTTTTTATTTCGGTGATAAGCTGTACACACAAATGTCAAATCTAAATTGAAAAATTATAATGAAATTACTTCTTTTACAATTTTGCGATTTTAATGGAATTCAAAGTCTCCATATGGAATCAGGGTCCATAATGCTCAATCGAGCTATTCAATCTATTTGAAAGTCAATCAATTTTTAAGATTGAATTTCTCGAACGAGTCATTATCATACATGATATGATAAAATCAATAATCAATATATATAAAACTCTAAATTACTTCTTTTAAGAAGATTGACATTCAAACCCGCCTTATATAATGGTAATATTGCTAGATTTTTATCATTAAAAGAGGTGCATCCATGCCCTTCAAGAATGAGAAATAAAGGCATAAGTCAGTCTTTGGCCTTTAGTCATGTGGGAAAGAGAAGAGAAGAGAAGAGTACATTGATTACGAAATATTAGGGATGCAGATCCCAAGAAGAAATGTGGGGTCATAGATTGAAACTTAATTTGCTCTTTTCTCGACAAAAGTCACAATTTGATCAACCTCTACTTCTTATCCTCTGTCAGCAAATCCTTGTGGGTTTTGTCAGTTGCCTTGTACCATGATCCCACGTGCATTGGGAGTCACTTTTGCTTTCTTGGTTGTATTGTCGTCACGTGCTTCATCTTCTTCAATGTGCATATATATACATACATTTCATTTTATGTATATGGGAGAACATCCCTCTATCATATGGCCAACATCAATTTATTGAAACTCTGGGTTCCCATTTGCCTAGGGGTACTTGGTCTAGTCTCACATGTACACGGTGAGCCTCGAAAAGGACAACATACATATCTTAAATCAATTACCATGCTCTATTCGATAAAACTTGCACACAAGTTCCAGCTATGGTGAAGAAAATTCGTAAGGAACCAGCTACTTAAATGGTTCAATTTAATCTTTTGCTCTATACGCAAGTTAGACGAACAATTTGGACGTCAGTAAGTTAGTCCATGATAGCAATATAGTGAGGTTGTGCTAGCAAGGCACGCAAATTAAGGCATTAATGTCAATACTCCAAGATTACGAAGGGAATGTGATTGATTTTTAATTTGAAAATTTTTAAAATATTGTTATAAAATTAGTAGAAGGGGGCAGCTTGGGCGTTATAAAATATCAGAGGGTAGTTTTATCCAAAAATGGTCCTCCAACGTTGGGACTTTTGCAATATGCTCTTTAGGATTTTGACACGTATCCCCTCTTTCCCTCTCTTATCGCTTGATTTTGGCTTCTACACCATTTTTTTTCATACATGACAGCCGTAGGGTTACAATTGGGATTTTAACGTTTTCAACCATCACGGAGTTATTAAGGGAATGAAATTGAAGGTTGATAGGAGATTACTTTATGAAGACTAGAGTGAGATTTTAATGGAATGCCATTTCTTCATTGAAGAAGAATGCGGATTTCGAGGGATATGTTATTACAATCATGCTAAAGTGTCATCCTGATTGACAGATAAATTGACATAATATGTCACATGATAGTCTATCATTTGATTGTCTTAACACTGTCATCATTTCCATCCACCTAGGAATCTGTCAACCTTTATGTCACAACTCATGTGGCAAAGTGGTTTAATCCATATTATTAAACGATGGTAGTGTCTTTGGAGCCCCAAGACAACCGTAAGCACTAAGCCATCACTTGGATCTTATGTCAAGCTCGACTCTGTTTATAACAACTAACAAGGATCCTTTATATCCAACCACATATGCTAGGTATCTCACCATGGAATTAAGTACATGGAAATTGTGGCATCCACAAATTTACTACACTCTTCCTTCTATGTCCAAATATACCCTGTTCATACTTTACAAAGGTAACAGAAGAATCACTTCAAAAAGAGCTTTTAGATTAGGGTTGTGCTAGTGGTACATCACACCCTACATAAGGGTATCCATAATGGACACTCGGCGCCTCTCCATTGGATGAAATGTTTTGAAATTACCTTTTGCTTACCTAAATTTTTATTATCGACTAGGGACAAAATATTCTTGACCAAATATTTCATAGTCGTCGTCACCTTTTGTAGTAATAAAATTTCTTTTCTCGCTGTCACTTATTATAGTAGTTGAAAGTTGAAACACGAGAATTTTTAGATTTTTTTAAATTTAGAAAGGTCAATGTCAAATTATTTCGAGTTTGCAAGCAATTGGATTCAATTTTCTCAAATATTCTTGTCGATAATATTTTTTTTCTTATATTTCGAAAATCATAAATGGAAAATGTATTTGTATTTTAACGGATTTTAAATTTCAAAATTAAAAGAAGCCAGACAAATTTAAATTTATTACCGTTTCATTTTCATCAATGGTCGTTAACTGCCTCCAACTTCCTGTCCCAAAACTATATAACCCTAAATTCTTCCCCTCTTCCGATCATTTCTACTCTTTGATTTGCGTCGCTTGGTCCCTGCCAGGCGTCGCCACTGCCCCACCACCACCATCGCGACCTTGTACAAATCAAGAATTTAAAAATGGGTGTCCCAAATGCCATTGTTCCCTCCAGTAATGCTGATACTTCAATGGCTGGGGAACTTTCGATCTTCGTTGATGGAAACGAACTGTTTGATCTTGATACTTTATTAGGGGATCCATTAGTAAGTGGGGTGATGGATGAGTGTAATGGTAACTTGGCTGGAAATTCTGAGGCTGGCCCTTCAGGAGTTCATGTGGAAGAGAACATCAATGAAGATGAATATTCCAGTGACGCTCCGCAGGGTTCAATTCTTGGAAATCCGATACGAATTTCTGTTTGGCCTGTGTTACCATCTCCATATTGTTGCACTTGTTGTCAAACACTTCGAGAATTTTTTCATATTAAGGGTGTGTGTAATATTGTACTGATATGTTTTTTACGTTTTTTAATGCAATTCTGATAGAAATAAACTAATGCCATGTTCGTACTAAGGATTGGATTGCACTAGACGTGACAGTTTTAAGGAAGAAGAAGAAGTGTCCATCCCTACAGATAGTGGAGGGCGGCGGCGGGGGCCAGTAGGTTCACTGGACCCACTGAGATTTGAGGAAAAGCTTGAGATTTTTTTCTTAGTTAAAGGAAGGCCCATTGAATCTGATTCCTGGCTCCGCCACCGCCTAGAGTACCACTTATTAAAAAATGCGCGATGGCATACATGTTAGGACATATCACATATGTTTTCTTCTTTGAAATTTTCTGTTCAAATGTTTTGCCATCTTTTTTTTTCTTTCACAATGTTAAGTCTATATTTACTTATTTTTCCACATGTTTTGTTTGGCAGGTACACTTGTGAACAAGCTTGAGATTCATGGAAGACTGGGGATAATCAGTCACGCAGTGCTTGATAGATATAATAGTGAATTCTCTCATCTAAACCACGAGTACCATATGTTTGAGTGAGTAAGAGAAATTTTGACCTTCCTGTTTATATATAGTGTAATACATGAACCCTGACTCCTTGATCCTCAGAAAGAACATTCTTCCCTTAATTATTCCATGTTTGGTGCATTGGAGTTGGCTAGAAATACAGAAAATGTGGTTTTAGTTTCTTTTTCTTCGCCAACGCTATCCAGTCCATGTCACGAAACATGCTATTATAGTTTAGTATAATTTTCGGCTAATAATTTGCGTTTCTTTTCTCTATTGAAGTTCAGTTTCTGCAATGAAAGCGTAAGCATTGTAAAGCAATTCCTAGTTCAGTATTGTGATGATTGTAAAAAACAAGGTTACATTATGCTGCAAGATCCACTCTCAAACTTCTACGATGCCTTGTGCACTGGACTTGGTGACAATGGAAATCTAGACGATGATATTTTTCGTCAGCAAACTCGAACAGGTTCATTTGATAGTCATCTATGCTTAATCCTGCCTATTGGAAAGTGTATTGCTATTGAAAGTTACATTGCAGGTGAAAAGGTCGTCTATTACATTATTTCTGGAAGTTCTATTTAGCATAACATAGAATTAATGTTTTCCGAGCAGGGAATAGCCAAACAAAGCAACAACACAGGGCGAACCAGCNCCGAGCAGGGAATAGCCAAACAAAGCAACAACACAGGGCGAACCAGCAGGAGGGTGAAAGGATTGGAGCAAGACGAAGCAAGAGCCACATTGCAGCACAGGTTAGTATTAGAATTTCAAATCATGAATTTTAATCTTTTAACATGTTAATCATTTTAATTATTTTTTACTTGGATTGTGATGACAGAGGGAAAGAACAGGAAAGATGAGAGCGCAAGATTTGACGGGATATTTCCATCTTCCGATTACAGCTGCATCTAAGGAAATAAATATATGTCCAACTGCAATGAAGAAGATATGCCGCAAGGGAGGCGTGAGTAGGTGGCCTCATAGGAAGGTTCTCTCTCACTCTATTTCTATCTCTGTGGGTGTGTCGGACTGTGTGAAGTCTAATCATATTAAGGATTCCAGGTTAGTATAGGTCGCCCTAATATTCCGGATATATATAGATTTTCTAGGGGATTGTTTTCTTTGAGACACAGTTTGAGAGGCGTAAGATTGCCATTGCTTCATTGGGGATGTAGCTCTCATTACCGAGGGTTAACCACTTTTAAGTCTATGTGATTTACGATTTTTTTTTTTCCTTTTTGTTTCTTTTATTTCTTGTTGGACATTTGTTTCTTACTCTCATTTCTTTCTACTTTTCCCTTTAGTCAAGTTTATACCAGAAACTCTGCTTGTTTTGCACAAAAATTGCAGATAAAAAGCATTCAGAGGCAAATAGCTGAGAGGAGTAAGAGTTTAAATTCAAATGATGCTGAAGAGAAGGCACGTGCTCTGGCCGAGATACGGACGCTTGAACAAACACTTGCAAGCATCGGGTTAGCACATCACAAATGACTCAATTTAATGATCTAAATTGCGGCGCTGGTTTCACCCCAAAGTCTCTCCACATTTTTCCCTTTCTCTTTTGAGTCTTAAATACAGACAACTTTGACGAGAGTAGAATATTATTTATTTTCCTTTTTTTAAAAAATTTTTTGGGTATATTCTCACTAACATAGTTTCACAGTCTCTTCGCGTAATTTTATAACGTGGAGAGATTGGTTTTGTATCATTGTATTATGTATATCAGTTTAAAGGAGATGACATAAGAATATTTATCATTTAGCAGTGTGGATGTTACATAGGAAACCAGCAATTTTACTAAGAAGATGACATAGTAATCATCAAAAGACAGATCACACAAAAATACTGATAAAGGACTAATATTAGCTGTTATCAATTCGTTGAGAACTAAAAATCTGATTTCTTGGAATGTCCAAAATACTACGATAAATCATCAGTTGAATAGTTTCAAGAAATTCTACTATGCGATGAGGGGCAAAGCTCAGACAGTGGTGTGTGTAAAACAAGTAAAGCAAGATGCACACGAAGAATGGGATGAGAATATGCCGTTGCCTGGAGACATAATCGAAGGCGTTGCAGAAGATGCTGATGCTGATGACTCGTTCATGTCAGCCAAGTTGAGGTCAGAACTTAGCTCACAACTCGGGAAAATAAGCAGAGAGGCTGATTTTATCTGGTTGAAGGTAAGGAGGGGAGACAGCACCGTTAAGCTCCAGGTATGTGTTGTGGCTGATAGATGCTCAAAGCTGCAGAGGAAGTTTACAGTCAGAGCAGCCTCGGATGAAAGACATATTGCAGTTTTAGCGGACTTGACTTTTGAGCAATGCTTTGAACTACAAGGTAAGGGTCAGGTCTCCTTTAGTCATAAGAGTTATGATCTTTGAAGTCTCAAGCCACTAGTTTAGGAACTCAAGAATTCCCAGTGAAGCTTAAAGATCAATTATAAGCAATAAGATTAACATGAACAACGAAATTAGTTATCGGCTAGGTTGGATCTTTGTATAATCGATTAATTGCTAATATTCACTTTTGGAATCATTAGATCACATATTTTCATATCTAGTGGTTTAGATCGTACACTTTTTATTATATACATTTTTGAATAGTCACACTCAATCTGAAGCAACACGACTCATTGATTTGCATCATTGACATTTGAAAAGTCGCAACTAGTCATTGCACAAAGTGAAAGACTTTTCCAATTCACACCTATAACAATTATATAATAAATTTCAAGTTTATCACAATTAAGAAGTGAAGATGCATTCATGGGACTCTCAACATCTAAATCATTTATTTGTTTCGCTGTTTAGCATGTTCATAGGTAACATCGATATTTTCAACCATATGCTAATTTATTGTTGAGTCTGCGTTGTGATATATTTGATATTGGTATGATTTTACTCATTATGCTTTTCCAAAATGTGAACTAGATTTCGTAACTTACTCAATCTCCATCCCCCAACAAAAATTTCAGTGCAACAATTTTCACATTTTTACACTTGTTATGTCGAATGTGAATCCTTCAATTATTATTAAAGACGACATGTGATAATTAATAGAAGGTTAAAGATAAAAATGATATGAAAAGAGTTGGGAATATAAGGATGAAATTGATGCTTTTTTATGGCTGAAGGATGAAATTGATGCATATTGAATGGTTGAGGGATGAAATTTAAATGTATGAATAGTTGTAGGGTGAAATTGATGGAGGATGAAACTAATGCTTTAGAATAGTGGAAGGACTAAATTGATGCTATTGAATAGTTGAGGGATGAAATTTAAATTATGAATAGTCGAGGGGCAACATTGATGCATATGATTAGTTGGAAGATGAAATTAACACTGTTGAATAGATGAAGGGTGAAACTAATGCTTTAGAATAGTTGAAGGACTAAATTGATGCTACTGAAAAGTTGTAGGATGAAAGTGATGCTTGTGAATAGTGGAGGGACGAAATTGATGCGAATGAATAGTAGAGAATTGAAATGGATGCTAATAAGTAGTTGATGGACGAAAGTGATGCTTATATATAGTATAGGGATGAAATTGATGCTAAGGAATAGATGGACGAAACTAATGTTTCAAAATAGTGGAGGGATAAAATTGATGCATATGAATAGTTGAAGGATGAAAGTGAAGTGCTTGAAAAGTGGAGGGAGGAAACTAATGCTTTTGGATAGTGGAGGGTAAAATTGGTGCTATTGAATAGTTGAAGGATGAAAGTAATGTTTGTGAATAGTGGACAAACGAAAATAATGTTACAAAAATAAAGGATGAAATTAATGCTCTTTAAAAGTTGAATAACGAAAGTGCGCTTCTGTATAGTAGAGGGACGAAATTGATGCATATCAATAGTTGAAGGATAAAATTGATGCAAATGAATAGAGAGACCAAATTGATGTATGCGATTAGTTAAAGGACGAAAGTAAAGCAAATTAATAGTTGAGGGACGGAAATATTGATATTGATTAGATGAAGGATGAAAATGACTATCCTTAATAATTGAAGGACAAAATTAACTATTTATGGTGTGTTTGATGGATATTATTTTGGAAGAATGTATTTTGGAATAGTAGATTGATGGAGAATATGTGGATGAAAA